TCTGTTCATCCCCTCTTCTTGGGTGTGCTGGGAGCAATAAAAAAGTTCATGCTTTTTGATGGTTTATAATGGCCCATTTGGATTCAATGGGCCAGAGATAATCCCTCCTTTTGGGTGCAAACCAGTATTTCACAGTTGGTCATATTTCTTTTCTGGTTGGATTACAGTTTGAGTGAATATTTATACATTATAGAACAAACACTTCAATATTACCTTACAGCATGGATTACAGGTATTATAAGTGAGACCGTTCCATAATATAAGCAAGTGTTTCATAGTAACTAATGAACACAAAAATTTGAAGCTAAAATGCAATTCTCAGTGTTTCTAGTTTTGTTTGTTTGTTTGTTTGTTTGGAGGGTTGTGCATGTGGTTGTGTGTGTTTTGTTTTTTATTAAGCTGCCTGGCAGTACTCTTACTATTAAAATTGCTATTTCTCTAGAAAATACCAGTGTCCAATCTCTTGCCACAATCATCTCACCTGTTTAACATGTGACCTTCAAGATTTTATATTCTTGGATCCCCCAGATCAGTTTCCAAGCTGCTTATAGTAGATCTTGAGGAAATAAAATTTCTGTTTTGCTTTAAGAAACCGCACCAGGTGTTCAGAGAATTTGAAATTAAAGGTTATCTTGATTTTTATAGACAGAAGTGTTCACTTCAATGTCTTAGAGTCTGGGAATCTATCTATGTATTGTCTAGATCTTGACATGCTACCTGACTGCAAGCTATATTACCTTTATATATTGATTCAGTTACCAGGATCACAGCTTTTGTCCTCAGCGTGTTATGTATATCCGTGCTAAAGAAAAGACAATTAAATGAGATGTGAGAGAGACACTCTGCGTTCTGATATTTCTAATCAGTGATGCAAGCTGAATCCAGTTTTTGAGGCTACATTTTTAAGACAAGAGCAAATATGATTTATCATCTAGGATGACATTCGTTCCAGTTTGGAGAGCCTGTATGAACCCTTCGTATGGGCCATAGTTGGGGGGAGAGGGCTTGCCATGAGTTCTCTACACTGAGGTGAATTTTTCACTTATCGTACCTACTAGACAAATCCTTTGCTAAAATAAAATAGATTAGCATGTGTGACAGCAGGTACTGTAATTCCTAGTGGCATTATTTCCCTGTATTAAAGGGTGCTGAGTCCCATAATAGTTAGCGCCCAATTCTCATCTAACTTAACCAGCTCAATGAAGTTAATAGTTACACCAGCATAAACAATCTGTGTAAGTTGATCAGAATCCAGTGTTGAATTCCTGTGGCAAAACTCCGGGTTAAGCTTTTACAGTCAGGTATTATTTAAAAAAAAAACCACATGGTCTTTGATTTTCTAACCATAATTCGTTATGGCTTCTGTGTCTTGTTTGCGCCATGGACTAATCAAGATGATTGCCCCTTTCTGCATTGCAGGAGCACTTGCATACATTCCTGAGATAAAACTGTTTGTTTTCATTACAAACAGTAATGAAAGAGCTAGATAAATTCAGGGTGGTTAGGTCCATTGGTGGCTATTAGCAGGGATGTGTGGGAATGGTGTCCCTAGCCTCTGTCAGAGGCTGGGAATGGGTGATGGGAGAGGGATTGCTTGAGGACTGCCTGTTCTGTTCACTCCCTCTGGGGCATCTGGTGTTGGCCACTGTTGGAAAACAGGGTTCTGTGCTAGATGGACCTTTGGTCTGACCCAATATGGCTGTTTTCATGTTCTTATGTTCAATACTCAGTTTACAAGTAGTTAGACTGATAAATAAACAACTTCTACCTGAAAATAACCTGTTACATGCCATTTGGGCCCTATTCACAAGTCACAAACCTTAAGAACATAATTTTCAGTGTATATGTACATAACTCCTTTCACATTATCTGCACACAAGTTTTACAATAATTATGAGAACCAGTCTGGTACAGGCCTTCAGTAGTGACCTTGTGTGACTGTGGCAAAATAGCCTGTAGATACCAAACTCAGGAGGATCCCTGTAGCCCTTATGTGCCTATGTGCCATCTGTAAATGGGCACCAGGAAGTCCCTGGGTCACAGTGCCCTTTTTGGTTGTGGTGCTTGAGTACAGAGATATAATCATGCTTAGGCAATGATCTAGGAAGATTACGTGCACAGATGTGTTCATTTTTCCCCCATCCTCTGCTTTCTGGCCCCTGAAAACAGTGCAGTGGCTAGATCAATCTTCCATGTTATCTATCTGTCATTTCCCTCTTGGCTCAAGTACAGTAGCTTGGCTGTGATTTATTTTCCCGTGCTACCAGTATTTCACATCTACCACTTCCCTCCAGGGCATAATGTGAGTTTGGAATTTGGCCCTTTTCTTTGTACGTTTCAGACTTGTCTACACTAGACAAAAAGCTTGAGGTTAGGTACTTGGATCCCACTTTTTCATTTCTGTGAAGTTGCTCATGGCTTTTCTGAAGGTTGGACCCCATACCAAAGCTAATCTTGCTGAAGCATTCAGAAGAGCCACTAGCTGCCAGATTGCTCTTCTGGAGAGGCAGAAATCTGAGAGGGGGCACTTCTTAGTGTCCTAAATCCTCCCTTTATTTTAGCCATAGGATTTTTGCAAGTGTCAACCCAACTTCTTCAGGAGGCCTTAAAAATATATGGGGTGCAGCCACAAGACGCATGGCCCTGGCAGGTTGTAGCACAGTAACTGTATGTGAACATGCGTTGATGTTGCATTGAGCATCAACAGATATATTTTTTAGGGCAACCAGTATTTTTTTCTATTTTTAAAATGGTACTACGGGTATTTATACACCATATTTTTTGTCTGTAAACTGTGGCTCTCTCACCCCAGCAGGTTGCATCAGGGACGTTATTACATTGAGAAGGTAGTACGACATCATTGAAATAAGTTGAGGTGACTTATCATCCAGGAACATTAACAGATGTGGTGGTGTTTTTTTCTTGAACATAGGAAAAAAAGACAAAAGAATAATTCTAGGAGCACATGATGTGCCAAACACAATCCTATCTGTGCTCCAAAAGCAATGATAGTAGATGCCAGAATTCTAGCTGGCAGACAGCCCATCCAGAGATTTCTTGGCCCTCCACCCTCCATGAGCCCAAATAAACCACTCATATGGGTTATATTTAGGGGTCATTCCTAGGTCAGGGTTATAGTTCCCTATCTATCCAGATTATAATGACTCATCCCTATGCCTTGCTTTAGTAGTAAGGTAAGAATATGGTAGGCTGAGGTTTCCAGATAGAGAGAAGGTGAAACCCTATTCTTTATTTAAATTTTTCCACTATACCTATGCCCAGCCCAAGGATATTACACAATTTATAGAAAACTATTTTGATAAAATATTAAAGTAAGTCTCGGAATAAGCCCTGCACTCATGGACATAAAACCACAGACCTTTCACAATATCCTCCCTGTTATAAAGCACTTGTAGAGTAATCTCTCTCCAGGTTTGGGGTAAGGATTTTGCCAGCATTCCTTTTACAGTATACAAAGTTTCTGGTATGGGCCTAAGCACGATGCTATTCCATGGATTCAACTCTAAAGCTTTGTGTGATGATCTTTCGATAACATTTCTTAAGCTTGGCTGCTGGTAAAAGGAAGTTGGATCATGGAATCAGTACTTGTTTCTTCCCCCTAGAAATCATAATTAGTAGGTCAAGTAATAAAGGTGCCCAGCTGACTATGTGTTGGTATGTTGTAAAATAATGTTGAGCTGGCCATCTCCTTTGTAATTTTAAAATGAATGATTGAAATTCCGTGGTTGTATAGAGGGAAAGTGTTTTCTTTATTTGCTAGCCTCAAAAGAGAATGCCTTCCTCCAAAATGAAAACCTGAACACTCTTACTGGTGTGCACTAACATTACAAAGGCTGCATGTGAGCTATAGGACTATTTTTATTGTTATAACATACCCTCTCACCTCATTAAGAAGTACATGTTTCTGCATTATTTATCGCTTACTAATGTCCCTTCCCCTCTCTCTGTTTTTGTGCTTGAGCAGATCTGCTGGCCCTGGTTTTGTACCACTAGTGGGACATGATCAGTGAGAGCAATGATTTTCATAGGCAGATATGCAAGAAATCTCTCTGAGGGTAGGTCTACACTGCACGCTTATTTCGAAATAAGCTATCCTGGAATAGTTATTCTGAAATGGCTTATTTCAAAATAGCACATCTACACTGCAGGGGAGCCTCAAAATTAATCCGAGGCAGGCTTCCCTCATGTACACTTCCCTATCTCGATTTAGAGCCCTAGGCGGCTTTGGGGAGGAATAATTTAGAATAGCCCTGGTGAAGGGCTATTTTGAAATAGTAGCAGAGTGTCTCCACACGCCTTATTTTGAAATAGCTATGTCGGAATGGGCATTATTTCTTGCAGAATGAGGTTTACAGATTTCAGAATAAGTCGCTTGTTATTTTTAAATGATTTTGAAATAATTGAATAGCTGTGTAGACACTCACATTGTTATTTTGAAATAGCGCTAGGTATCGAGAAATAACAGTACAGTGTAGACGCACCCTGAGTTCATCAGCAGCATTGTTTTTTCTCACGCATGCAACATGATGGGGGGAGGGTACTTCCCAGTTATTCCGCTCCTCAGATAAATGAGCAGGAAGGGTAAAGGGAAAGGTAGGGAATTAAAGGTGCACTGGTTCTTACCCCCACCTGCTGAATCCACCATGATGCTTGTCTTGCCTTGGCAAATTTTTGCTTGATCAGTTGCAGCATAATCTGAGGCCATGTTAACAGTCTTTAGCTTCATAAAAATTAAATTTGCCACTTTTCAGTTTATTTGATTTTCTCAAACTACATGACATTTTGCTCCAAGAAGTATGATGATGGAGATCATCCCTGATTAATTAATCATCCCTAATTAATCTTTCTATCGATTTCTTTGAATCGCAGCTGGAAAGCCCTGAATGATCAGAGAAAAATACCATTAAAAGTAAACTGATTTTATTGTAATAAGTTGCTATTAAATAAAGAATAATCTAATATGCTCTCATCTTTTAAAGGGCGAACCTGGTTTCATTGGTCCACAGGGAGAACCTGGATTACCAGGCTTGCCAGGAACAAAAGTAAGTTTAGCTCCTCTCATGCATTCACCCATATTATATTGAGTTCCTTAATATATTTTCCTGCATCCCTTTTAATTCTGGGTTATGTTCCCAGTGCACTCTGGGACCAAAACTGTTCAGCAGTTGGTTCTGGTTATATGTTGTCAGCATTCCATAATGCACTCATTTCTTTCCGCCCTAACAGCTTCCCCTGCTTCACCCAGGTTGCCATGTGAGAGATGTCTTCTCCGAATCACACAGAGTTATAGGGAGCAGATGCTGACTGACTGTGCCCACACACCTGAACCTTATGCTTCATTGTTTTGTGCTGCAATGACCCCAGACCAATTACTGCTGGCTTAATGTGGAAAGGTGTCCTACTGCAGAGGGCAGAATAAGGCAGATCTCCCCAGAAACCCTGTGTGAAGGATCAAAAAGTTCCTGTATGAGAGCTTTATTAGAGATGTGCAGGGAGGACTCCCACTCCATCTCCAGACACATTATCAAGTATTTCCGGGGAACGCTCCCCCCTACTATGTAGCCACAGTGGCTGCCACAGATCACACCCAATTGCCTTAACCCACTTTTAGCAAGGTAAAAAATGTGAAGGCACCAGAAGTATCCTCCCCAGGATCAGTGCCCAGCTGCGAGAGGTCCTAGCAGGAAGCTTCTCCAAGGTTATAAAAAGTTATTGGTGACATAAGTTGCCCATCTCACCTGCTGTTCATTCTCCTCTTCCGCCTCTTCCTCATCCATGCTGTCCTTCACGCTGCTGCCCGAGGTAGCCTGTTGAGTTTCTTGGGAGGAATCCACTGGCTGGCTAGAGATGTGTTTGGGTCCCCCATAAAGATGACATGCAGCTGCTCACAAAAGCGGCATGCTTGTGGTGATGCTCCAGATCATCCATTTGCCTCCTTTTGTCTTTTGGTACAACTGCCTCCGCTCCTTTATTTTCATTCAGCACTGTTGGGTGTCTCTAGTGTATCCTTCCTCCTCCATGCTCTTTGCAATCTTGGCATAGATATCTGTGTTTCTTTTGCTGGTTCATAGTTCTTCCTGCACAGATTCCTCTCCCCACACAACAATGAGGTCCAGGATCTCCTGCACGCTCCATACTGGTGCTTATCTGAGACTCTGGGAAGTCAGGGTCTGGTGTGCTGCCTCTTCTGAGGTCTGCTGGCCATGCTGACCACACAGGAAATAAAATTCAGATTTTCCTGGGACTTTTCCTGTTCTCCTGGAGAGCAGTAGAGTTGAAAGTCCTGGCCAGAGCAGTCAAAACCACTCAGAAGTCAAGAATGTCAATTTTCACAGTGCTACATCTGCACTACCGTAAAATCGATCTTGCAAGGTCGAATTTAGTGTTATTCCTTATGGGTATGTCTACACTACCCCGCTAGGTCGAACTAGCGGGGGTAATGTATGCATACCGAACTTGCTAATGAAGCCCGGGATTTGAATTTCCCGGGCTTCATTAGCATAAAGCCGGCGCCGCCATTTTTAAAAGCCGGCTAGTGCAAACCCCGTGCCGCGCGGCTACACGCGGCACGGGCTAGATAGTTCAAACTACGTAGCCCGTGCCTCAGCCCCACATTCCAGGGGGCTCCTGGAATCTGCTGTGGGGCTCTAGCCCCAGTCCCGTGCTGTCCCCACCTGGGCTGCTGACCCTGATGACCAGCCCAATTGGACCTCCTGCCCTTAGGCTCCCAGGCTCCAAGATGTTGCCAGGGATGTTGCCAGATTTTGGAGGTACAATCTGTATAATGAACTTTACTTTGTGTGAAAAGCATTCTCTGGCTCTCACTTGTGCAGAATACAGCTGCTCACCTAACTGGGTGAGCCAGAAAAAGTGGCTTATTGCTGCACTGACTGCCAATACGTTCCAAAAAGGCCACCTTCATTTTCTTACCCATCACATGAACTACTCTCATTCAGAGTACTGGAATTAACTCAGCCAAGGATTATGAGAATGGAAGAAAGACGCAGCGCTACCTTAAGTTTGCTTCCTTCTGTGAATGCCTTATTCTGCTCTTTTGTTACATACTGTTTCTCAGATAATACAGTCTTGTTCAACAGAAAATTATTCAGCTCAAGTTACAGAAACATCCATTTCTGCTTTCAGGAATGCTGTAAATTTACTTAGGAAAAATATTCTCCATCCCATTATAGCTGTCAGGTGGGCCTGAAAATACACCCTGTTTTGTTTTTCTGAACTAACTTTGTCCTTTTTGAAAGTTAGCCAGTGTTCCATGTGTGTTGTGATTTTTTGACAGGGTGAAAGAGGAGAAGCAGGGCCCCCTGGGAAGGGTGAGCGAGGCGAACCTGGAGTTCCAGGGCCAAAGGTCAGTCTGATTTGACACTGGCAATTTTTTGTTAGTTTTATAGATATAAATACTCAAGAGCTACCTCAGAAATACAGAACAAAGCACAACACTGTAAATTCATACCTGTACACTGCAGCAAGGGGGGTTATTTCCAGCTTGGGTAGATCTATCCATGCCATAGACACAGCAGGATGGGTGATGAGATGAGCTAGCTGCCCGAAATATGGACCTAAATTCATAGGTGGGATTATACTTGGACAGCTAGCCGAAGTCACCATGGCTACATTCCTATTTATAGTGTGTTAGATCAGTCATAGCTATTGTGTGTACATTCACCCAAGCTGAAAATTATATCTCCAGCTGTAGACATACCCGTGGTATAGTCCAACAGCCAGTGGTAATATAGAATTCGCAGCTGCAGAATTAGTTCTGAAGTGGAATCCATTGTTTGGACTGAAGGAGACAGATCCTCACTAGGTATAAATGGTGATAGAGCAATGGAAATTGATATAAGGTGAAGCTCTGCCCTGAATCAAATGTGTCTACAAACACCCTAGTTCACGCTGTTTGAACACTGTGACCTTTCAAGTTCAGAGAAAATCCATTTTGCTTGTTGTCTTCCAATTTCGTAAGAAAAAATAAATAGCCCTAAACACATTGTAATATCTTCCGAGCATTTTCTACAGCGTTGGTGATTGAGTTTTTTACTTTTGATGGATCTTGTAAAGGTACCCTCGCTTCTCTTTCTGGTAGATCTTTATTCATCTATACTTCCTGGGAAAACTATTGTGGTAACACTTTATTTTAGCAATACTATCCTGTAAACACTTAGGGCGTGTCTACACTAGGAAATTATTTCAAAATAACTTATGGTGAAATAATAGCTCCTAACATAACTATTTCAAAATAGCGTGTTCACACTACAGGGAAGCCTCAAAATTAGTCCAAGACAAGCTCTCTTAATGTGGATGCACTACCTTGACTCAGGGTGCATCTACACTGCAGGGCTTAACTCGAAATAAGCTACGCAAATTGAGCTACATCAATTGCGTAGCTTATTTCAAAATAGCTTATTTCAAAATAGGGAGCATCTACATAGCATATATTTCAAAAAGTCTTCCTATGACTTCCCTTACTACTTGTACAATGATGGTTACAGGAGTCGGAGTAAGAAGTCCTCCAGCTTGACAGTATTTCAACATTATTTCAAAATAACTGCCTGCTGTGTAGACGCAGACTAAGTTATTTTGAAATAACACTAGTTATTTCAAAATAATGTTGCTGTATAGACATACCCTTAGAGCCCCAGGTAGCACTGGTAGTAATTACTTTGAATGACTCTGGGGGGTAGTTATTTTGAAATAGCAGCAGTGGAGCGTCCACACTACTGCTATTTTGAAAAAACTGTTATTCCTCGTGGAAAGGAGGAGTTATTATTTTGAAATAACCAGCCTGTTATTTCAAAATAACAGGCATGGTAATGTGGACACTCTGCTTGTTATTTTGAAATAAGAGGAGATATTTCAAAATAAGTCCCTAGTGTAGACCAGGGCTCAGAGTCTATTCACCTCTCAGTTCTTGGAGGACCTAACAGTACAGAGGATACCTCTTGTAAGCCAGAATTATTTGTGCCAATCCTCTGCAAGAATCAATAAGAGAACAGTTGGTGGAATTCCTGTGAAAGAAGGGAATCTACAGCATAGGCACACCAATACTAAAGAATTCTTTATTGTGGGTGCTATTAGACTCATTACTATATGGATTCATGAGGTTGTTCATAGAAAATAGAGTGTTTCCACTGCTCTCTACTACTACTAGCCAGAACTAATTTCTTTTTGCTCTGTTCTTTCCTTTCTCTCTCATTTTTCTTCTGTCCATCTTCTATGGCTTCCTCCACACAGGGGAAATCAGGTGAATCTGGAGCTAGAGGCCCAAAGGGGTCAAAGGTCAGTGTCAACTGAATTGCCTTTTTTGGTGTAACATGAGGATTTTCTGGGCAAATTATTAGTTAACATGACATGGACTGTCATTTCGAAAGAAATGATAACTGATCCTGCAGTCATCATACAAGCAAAATTCCCAGGGGTTTCGCTGTACTTTTTAACTGTCAGGTCTGCAGAATCAAGCACTACACCATTTTGTACACCATTACTGTGCTCATTCTTTATCTGTTGTAACATCTTAAAATGATTAGTCTCTTTTTTGTCTACTTTCTTTTTAACATGTACCTGCTTTCTCTCTCTTTCTCTGTTAGACTGGTGTGTTTTAATCCATTTTCTTTGGGGTGGGAGGAAAAAGTTATTAAAATTGGTACTATTGCCATTTTGCTGATCCAATAACCCTTGAAAAGTATTTGATTTAAATATAATTTCTTATTATTCTGCTGATGTTTTGTGAGTGGTTCTGGCTATTTATTTTGAATCTTGTGCAGTAAGATGTAGAAGATTTGGGTGTCTCCGATTTTTTCCTCTAACTAGTTGAAAAACTACATTAAGCCTTGGCAAAAAGCAAAAGTAAACATTTTCAATTTTTTTTTTCAAAACCATATGCTTCCTGTGGTCTTTCAGTTGATACCAGGAATCTACACACAATAAAAGTGCACTGTTCTTTTGTTTAATTGAATCACTTTGAGAGAGCAAAGATGTGCTGAGAATCGTTTCTATATTGCTTGTAACATGGGCCCAACATGAGTATCTCCATTGGCAAAACACATAAACATGCAAAGTTATGTAAGTGCTTCAGTCCCATTGACTTCACAAAGTTGAACATATGCTTAAATACTTTTCTGAACTGGGGCTATAGTGAACAATAAAATGTAAAAAAGTGATTCAAAGAACCAACATGGTATAAACTACAATTAAATATCCCCTGATTTCTTCCTTATGCTGAGGAAGTTGGTCTTCACTGGACTTTTACACATACAATAATGTGTTCTTTTATGTCTGGTCTGCACTATAGAGTTAGGTCAACACAAGGCAGCTTACATCAACCCAACTGTGGAAGTGTCTGTACTCCTTTGCAGTAACCCGCCTGCTACACCAACTTAATAACACCCTCCCATAATCAGTGTAGTGTCAAGGTCACTGTAGTTAGGGTTGACACAGTTTCATTCCAGGTCTACACTAGACTTGGAGGCTCAGCTTAAGGTACTCAACTCCATCTACATAGCATCTTGGGCTCCACAGCCCGAGCCCTGTGAGCCCAAGTCAGCTGACTTGGACCAACCCCAGGTGGTGTAGCCATACTGTTCCTGACTTACCCCTGAAGCTTTTTGATAAAGCTTCTAAGAGCAGGGTATCCAAGCTGTCATGAAAAGGGAGGTTGTTTAAATGACTTAAGTTGAAGTCTGCCTTTTTTTTTTAATCCTTTGTTATTTCTTAAGCAACCCCAATAATGTATTCTGTAGCAAATGCAACACGCAAAGAGCCAAACTCTGTTCTCAGCTGCAACGGAGTCAATCCTGACACTCCACTGACTTCAGTGGAAATACCCCTATGTAATTAAAACCCATATTCTGTTGGTGTTTTAAATCCATATCAAGTTTTTGTTTCATTTTTTAAAATAAAGTATATCTGTTCCCTTCTAAATATGCTTGGGGAGGGTAGTAAAAATATTTAAACTACCAACAATATGGGACTGATTGTTTATCTTTTTTTTTTTTTTTTTTTGGGTAACCCTGGAGATAAAGGTGATTCAGGAGCTATAGGTCCAAGGGTAAGTACACTTTATTCTTACGTGTAGGCCAAGTCAACAACCACGGTTGAAAGCAAATTAGCACCATCCTTGGTTAAATGCAATTGTTACTGACGTCGTTGTGGCATTAAGAGAGCTGATAACAGTATCAACAAGAAAAGCTGTGTTATAAATCATACTCTAGATATCTAGAAGATTAGTAATATCTTTTACTGGACCAACTTCTGTTGACAAGAGAGAGAGAAGTTTGTGAGCTTCCCTTCCTTGTTTTTCTACTTCCTGGAATCAACACTGCATAAATTATTAGTCGTCCTTCAATACTGTTTGGCTCGTGTTTGCCTGCTGTAGCAATCATTTGATTCCAGGTGAAGTTTAAAGTACTGATATGGCTAACTGGCCCGGATCCCAGCTATCTGGAAGATCCCCTCTGCCCCAGGCTTCTCTAAGGAAGGAAGCAGGCCTGGCCTTTGGGCAAAGCGAGTGAGGCTGTTGCCTTGGGCCACATGCATTCAGGGCCCCGTGCTGCTCAGCTCCCAGCCCTGCCTACCTGGCCGCTCACTCACTGCTGTGACTGGGAGCTGTGTTGCTGTGCGGCTCAGCCAACCACAGCATGCTGCCTTGGGCCCCGCAAACTCTTTAGCTGGGTCTGGAAGGGAGAGTAGATTGAGAAGATGAGAGGATAGAGGGATTTGGGATTTGCAGATTTTGTAAGCGAGGTCTGGGGTTTTTTTTACCTGTGTGAGTTAAGAAAGTAGGGCTGATAGAGCACCTTTTAGTGGCTTTTTTCAGTGCTTTTAGTTTTGGATTAACTTTTGTAGTCTGTGATTTATTGAAAATGATAAAAGCTAGGGTTGCCAGGTATCCGGTATTGACCCAGACAGTTTGGTATTTTCACCTGCTGTCCAGTAAAAAAAATCCAGAAAATACCGGACATCTAAAATGTTCGTTATTTTCTAATTTTTTTTCTTGGCCAGGAGGTGAAAATACTGGGTGCTTACTCGGTTCCGCAAGGGAGCCATCTGGCCCGGAGCAGGAAAAAAAGATGGTGATGGCCATCGTAAAGGGGCCATACTTTTTTTTGTTTGTTTCTTTGTTTTGCTGCTCAACAACTCTCAGGATCCTTTTTTTTGTTGTTGTTTTTGCTCAACAACTTTGATCTCAACAGAATTTTTTTTCCAAAGGGTTTTTTGGGGGGGGGGGGGTTGGTATTTTTGGTTAAACCATCTGGCAACCCTATAAAAAGCAAGAAAATATAATGTTCCAAGATCCAGAGAAAAGTTCAGGGAATGAAAGTGAGTTGAATAAATAGGACAAGTATCAGAAGACTGAACATCACTTTGCTACATTGAGTCATGGAAACTTTGCAGAAAACAGGCTTATGATAACTGTGTTTAATCAGCATTGTTGCTAGTATAGTCTCAGCTGCAATGTGAAAGAGGTCAATATTCCTTTTAATAGATAGAATGAGTTTCATGCCCCTGAAAACCACTTTAACGAAAATATAATAATAGGACACAGAAACTGATGAGTTATGGGGCCCAAATGGAGACACAAGATTCAAATCTAAACTTTCCTTTCTGATTCTCATCTCTATAGTGCGCCAGTCAAAACTTGGATCTTAATGACCCTGAACTTTTCAGGACAGGGAGATCTTTCAAACAAAGAATAAAACACTATAGAATAAAACAGTCTCAGACAGACTAGAATCTAGGTAGACAAGGATAAAACAATTAGTAAGGTTTTGTGTGCTTGACTCAAATAATGTAGATTTTGGTGGATATGTTTCAGGGTCCACCTGGACAAAAGGGAGATCAAGGTGCAACCGAGATAATTGACTACAATGGCAATATCCATGAAGCTCTACAGGTATGTGAGCATAAAGAAGCTTGTCTGACTCAATACAGGAAGAACAGCTCTTTGGCATAATTGTATTTTTCTTTTGCATAGGACATGAAATTACTCCACCATAGTATCTTAAACATTTCCTGGACATATTAATTAGGAATCCCCAGTGCTTGGCATCTAGATTTTCTTTTTTGGTGTTAAACAAAGTGTTTCCTTGATAAAATGGTGAGTGAATTAGCTGTGTATCTCCTCTGGACTCTATTGACATCATCTGACGAGGACAGAATTGATTCATTGCTGGCTCCACAGCTGTGAGTGCTGAATTCATCTAATAAACCATTTACACAGATCCCACAGAAGTTTCTGCTTTTCAGTTCATGTAGAATAATATTGACTGTCTTTCTTTGTCTTTTTCTTCTCCTCCTCCTCCTCCTCTTACTCTTTCCACAAAATGAAAAGAGCAGAAACGTTGAGGTTTGGAAACCAACTCACTTGATTCCATTAGCAAGCTGTGGATTCAATCAGCATCCCGAATTAGGATTCTTAGCAGTAAATATATAAAATAGACTTAAGCTTTGGTGGCCTTATTTACTCAGCCCCAGAAAAGTAAGTGTTTTAAGAAAAGGGTGAGTGAATGTTCACGTGAAAGCCAAGTGTCCCAGGGTGACTGGCAAGCTATAAGAACAGCATTTGGTGGTCTTGCTGACTACAGTTCAGTCCTATGAGAAGGCAAGCGCTCACCTGCAGTTTTCATTGTGCCAAATTCTTGGAGGTTCTGGGACCTGCAAAAGCTATTGAAGTGAATAGGAATTTTCAGTATTGATGGGTTCTCAGTGCCTCTCACATTGTAAGGAGAAGTTGACAGTTCACAGGATACAGCACCTCTGTCTGCATTCCTACACCACTTGGGAAGAAATCCTAAAGCAGCCTAAGAAGCGAGTTTGTGCCTCCCATTCCATTTCATGTCACCAGAGAATCAGACGTCTTAGTGCAGCAACACAGAAAACAGATATAGAAATTATCATCACAGTTCAAGCAGGAACTGTGCAGAGTTTGTGTCTTTGACTTAGAGGTCAAGCACAAAATACATAAATGAGTCTCTCTCTTTGGGTCTGCTCCTAGATCTCAGAGGCAAAAGCAAATAGTTGAAGTGGACATATTATCTTGGGAGGAACTGCAGAATTAGTGCTTTGTATATTAAAATTTTAAATATATAGTTAGAAATGAAACAGGTGTGAAAACTATAAATTACTGGATTTGGTATAATTTGTTTAATTATTTGTTATGTAAATTAGCAGAATTTAATTTTTCTGCTATTTTAAACTCTTTAAATACTTCCGTATATAGGGTGAATGCAAATGCACTACCATATAAAATGCCATCTGCTAGAGATTTTAGTTCCAAAGTTAGTTTGTATTGATATGATTCTAGTTTTATAAAAAAAGGTTTTGATTGTGCAATTACATGCCTATTAAACTGAATAAAACTAAATCTTATATTTAGATTGACACTTTAAATGTATAAACATCTTTCTTGGCACATAGTTAAAACCATTTTCATGACTAATACTGTCTGCCTTATTTGTGCGAGAGGTCACATTGTTAATGAAAACTCGTATGTACGTAATGTAAGCACAGTTCAGCTCTATGTTTAAACTATACAACCAGATAATTTGTGTTGCCTTTGGAATATTTTCACTACTTTTTATTGGTTCTGTCTTTGAAACTTAAACATTAAATAGTCTAATTATTGGCCTTTTTCCATTATGAAAATATTGATCTGCCTGTCTTCCAAATGTTTTAAATAGAGCTGAAGTTAACATGAGTGATATTGTGTATCAACAACTTCACGTTTAGCACAATATTGTTTTTTAACATTGTGGTTTGTGTACTGTTATTACTACAAGAATCACAGCTCTGGGAACTGTAGAATTGTATTTGTTAATGAGACAGAATCAGCAGAGACCTCAAAATATTGGGCAAAATAACAGCCTTGGGCAAAAGAGAGTTGCGGAAAATTCACAGATAGATACAAACATAGAGGAGCCAAACATTTTCCTTCCTCAAATTCTACTGTTGTTAAGGTATATCTTATTTGTACCTGAACATTTTATAGCCAGACCTGTAAGTTTTCACTTACATAAAAATGCCATGTAAATTAATGAGGGTAAACCACTGATACCAAGTGCAGTGTACCTTGATGACTATTCCACTTTAGCTCTCTTAGGCTGTGTCTATACTACAGCCCTCTTTCGACAGAGGGATGTAAATTAGACACGTTGAAATTGCAAATGAAGCAGGGATTTAAATATCCTGCACTTCATTTGCATAATCGCGTAATGGTGAATCGCGTAATAGATGCAGTTCTTTCGAAAACGGCACGCTTTTTCAAAAGATCCTGTAAACCTCATTTTTTAAGGAGTACAGGATCTTTTGAAAAAGCCTGCTGTTTTTGAAAGAACCGTGTCTAGGCCATGGTTTAACTTTCGAAATAGCACTTTTTTGAAAGAGCGCCATTATGCGATTATGCAAATGAAGCCTGGATATTTAAAATCCCGGTTCATTTGCAATTTCAAAGTGTCTAATTTACATTCCTCTGTCGAAAGAGGGATGTGGTCTAGACACAGCCTAAGATACAGCTCTCCCAGATGCAGCACAGATTCTGTGGAATTCATTATTAAACAAGTGAAATACTTTATTTCAATATTCACATCTGATAACATTGTCTTTTGTTAATACATTTTGCCCACAGAGGATTACCACCCTAACTGTCACGGTAATTCCTACTGCATGACTTGCTGTGCTTTGTAGCTGTTTTATTCTGTATAGTTGCATGTTCGTACATCTGCTGGTTTAGGGTGTATCTTCATTATCTGTTGTTGATCCTGTTCATTATCATGTGTGTCTATTCACTAAATGTTTCCTTACAATGAACATATTCTTGAAAACTAAAGCCTAAAACTATTACTATAAAATAATGACAAAACTCCATTGCTAAAAATAGGAGGCAGATTAGATGTGTAAGGTTCTTAGTATTGTTGGTATTGTTGGTTTTGGTATGCACTAGCAGTCAGAGAGCAGATCCTGCATTTGCTTTGCTCTCAAATCTCTTATTAATTACTGTTGTCAGCTTTATTTTTCAAGGTAAACAGTTATTTTAAATGATTTTGGGTGGAAACTTTACACAGGAGTTCAGTTTTTCCCTTAAAAGTTTCCTATTTCAGTTTACAAGCAGGAATATAAGAGAAAGACTTAGGCTACGTCTACACTGGCCCCTTTTCCGTAAGGGGCATGTAAACTCTCAAATCTCTTATTAATTACTGTTGTCAGCTTTATTTTTCAAGGTAAACAGTTATTTTAAATGATTTTGGGTGGAAACTTTACACAGGAGTTCAGTTTTTCCCTTAAAAGTTTCCTATTTCAGTTTACAAGCAGGAATATAAGAGAAAGACTTAGGCTACGTCTACACTGGCCCCTTTTCCGTAAGGGGCATGTAAATTTCACCTATCGGGAGGCTCTTATTCTTACTTCAAAGTAAGAATAAGAGCCTCCGGAAAAGGGCGCTTTTTCCGGAGGATCGGGGCCAGTCTAGACGCTCTTTTCCGGCTTTTTTAAAAGCCGGAAAAAAGCGGCGGACATTTTTATTTAAATGCCGCGGGGGATATTTAAATCCCCCGCGGATTTCCCTACGACGATAGGTGAAATTTACATGCCCCTTCCGGAAAAGGGGCCAGTGTAGACGTAGCCACTGTGTGAGGATTTCTTCTTCCCTTTCTTACCAGATGCTGTTAGAAGAGCTAGTTATATGAAGTACTGAGACTTTTCCAGTACCTACAGCTCACATCCTGCAGAGTTCTGAGTATTTTTGTGCTCTGCACTCTCAGTAACTGCCATTGGAGGTTTATAGACATTGGGCCATAGTTTGGCCTTGTGTGTGACTTCACTGGAAACATAGGGGTTTCAGTGTGTTCTAGAATGCACTTAGAGTTTTACAGAATTAGGCTCCCATGGAGCAGCAGATTTGATCAAATTATATATATAATATACAAATATTTATTTCCTTTTTGGACTGTTTGTCTCTAAATTTTTCATTGGGCCCATTTTGCCATCTTTGTAAATGTTGTTTTATTGATGATTTTGTAATGCATTCCCCCCCCCCCTTGCACAACATTCAGAATAGTCAACAATTCTGTAGGTTGGTTCTGCTACAGTTGCTAGACAAAAGGGGATGAGTTAATGACTCCTGTCCTCCTCCCACAAAGCACTGAACACGCTCAAAGTCATTTGAGAGATAAGTATCTTCTAGCAATAGCCACTAAGGGCCTGATCCAAGAACCATTGTAGTCAATAGGAGAGTGTCCCTTGACTTTGGTGGGCCCTAAATCAGACCCTGATGCCAGCTTTTGCATGTTTCATACGTTGGGATTCAGTCATGTTCCCACCGAAATCAACGGATGTTTTGCCATTGCCATCCATGGAAGCAGCATCCCCTTCATTAGTTCAAAACCACAAATGTGCAGTATTGTTTTGTCATTGGTTTTTGTGACTCCATTGTGTGTGTTGTTAGGTGTAATAAATTAACAACCTGTTTGTAGCTGATGTGGTCCTTCCCTGTAAGTTTTCTTAGAAAGACTGGTTGTGTTATTAACAATGGTGAAGTTCATACATATGTGTATCCAATATGTCCTGTGAGAGCTTATGTGGTCCACAACTAACAGGTTTATCTGTTTCTGTATAGGGTCCACCAGGGCCACCCGGACCTCAAGGAGCACAAGGACCAAAGGTGATCTTTCTTTGTTGCCACATCCCCCTCTAAAAGTCTAAGATTCTCTAATACAGCTGGGTGGTTTTTTTTTCACTGAAACATTTTTTCTGTTAAAAATATACATTGAATGACACTGAATCTTTCAGAAAAGAAACAAAACATAATTCTCTAAAAATTGAAATGTTTCATTTTTAAGTATTCTAAATAAAATGTTTTAAATTCTTTCTCTCAAAATTTCCTTTAATTTTTTTAAAAGTTAAAAGTGCTCAAAAATGAAACAAAATGTTTTATTTAACCCAAAATGATTTTTTCCCATTTTTCAAAATTGCCAGTGAACCAGAAAAATGTTACATGTACAGTTGTATGTTCTGTATTTCATTTGCTTACATTTGCTTGTGGTTCTTCTTAATTAGTATAAAAATATATGTACAGTTTTAGTTCTCTGTTTTGCATAAGAGCCCGATAGAAAATCGCCCGTGCTCAGCCACTGTGCCCAAATCTGCACTGAGGTTGATCTGTAGATGTTCTGCTGGGGAGAAGGCTATGGCCTTGTGGTCAGAGAGGGTAATTCACATATTTTTCAAAGTAGCGGCTTCACCAGACAGTGGTTTCCACGCACACATCAACATCCAGAGTGTTCACATTCTTGGCTAGCAGGAATAGTCTGTAATGGGGCTATCCATTGAAATGCCTGCCAAAATATGGGGACATATTAATGCAGCTTTTGTAACATATATACACACATGTCCGACAGAGAAAACCACTGCATCCTGCAGCACCCTATACTGCTGCTCCAAAAAGAAGCATTGTATTCTACTCCCCTGACTACCACCCAAAGCCAACTGATCCATCACTTAGGTGGTGTGGAGCACCATTAGGCCCATTAAGCCAGCATCGTATATGGCACTTAAGAGAACTAAAACCCTATTCTGACTTGCAGGGATATAGCGATATGCAAAGGGGTGGGTGGGAGTTTCCTCTTTCATTCCAGCAAACCTACACAAAATGGAACAGAGTACCTTGCTCTCTCTTTTTTGGTCTATGCATTTTTTATATAAAAGATGTCTAATTACATAACATTTATTAATTGCAGTTCAGTTCAAAATTTGATCAAATTCTGATAGATTATTTTGTTGTATGATGCACACATTTAGTATGATGCAGTATATAGGAGCCGTATGCTATTCATTGTCCAGTGTCGCAGGGTAGTTCCCTTGTCCCTTGCCCAGGGGGGCACTGTTGAGCCCTTGGGCCACTCTGCAACCCCGACACAGCTATACCCTGGAGCTCCTCTTCCCCAGGGCAATGTGGCCTAGCGGCCAGAGTCTCTAGCAATTCCCCCTTCACCAGGGCAATGCAGCCTAGAGGCCAGCGTCTAGAGGCCCTCCCTCTCCACCAGGTCCCAGCCCAGGGCCCTGTCAGTGATGGGCATGTCCTGTCACTAGCTCAGCAGGTAGTCCGCCTGAAACATGCTAAGCTTCTTGGGACTGCAATTCTCCACCCTGGGCTACTTCCTAGAGTCTTCCTCGTCGGCATCCTTTGATCCGGGCCCTTCTGTGTCCGGTCTCTGCTGACTGGCCTCTGCTGCTGCATCCGTCTGCTGCTCCTCCTCCAGGATGGAAGCCTCCCTGGCTGGTTCCCGCTGGCTGGTCTCCTGGTCTGATCTCTCAGGCGGCTTGCCTGCAGGAGCTAAGGCAGTACATCCTTCCTCCTCAGCAGTCAGCCACTCTCCAGGCTTTTATACCTGGGCTATAGTCTGAGCATGCCCAGCAAGGCTGCGAGAGCAGGGCTTCTTCAGCCAGGTGAGCCTGATAGGCTCAGCTTTCACAGTGTGGGGCCTGGTACACCCCATCACCTCCAGATTGTACTCTGTTTTTACAGTCTAACTCATTCATTGCCTGGACTTAAAATGGGTTTTCTTAATCAGAATATGATGAATGAATAGTGAATCACTCCCTAAGCTAATGTAGGATAGCTAACTGATGAATTAAGAGATAATTATCAGAGTTCGTAAGAGCTTATCATATCATGTAGCCTCGAGGAAATCTTGTTTGCATAACAACAAAGTTTCTTGGTGATTATGAGTTCTTGTGAAGAGCAAATACCCTTTTGTGCAGCCCACAGTGGAAACAAAGTCATTTAGTTTAAGTGTATGATGCATCACATCCCATGATATCACAGGAAAAATGTATCACTTTTGGTTTATCTAAAACTGTTCTTTCATATAAAGGTTTTTCATCACATGCCAAAATAGGTGTGAGTCAGTGCAAGCAATTTGTGAGAAAATAGTGTCACTCTGCTTTTCACAAACTGGCAATGGACAGTATATGTCAGGTCATAGAAAGTCATTTAAGCAGGATTTATGCAGCCCAAAGAAACTGCAGCTCCCACTCAGGGATGGGGTTCTGAAAATCTGGGGTATAGATGAAGAGGTTGCTCCCTTGTCAAAAAAGGAAACTTTCCCCTTTAAAAGAGCCAGGGTAAAGCAGAATTCAGACTTTCAGAGGTCGGAACCAAAGGTCCCACCCTTACTCTCCTATGTATCACCTTCTCCCTTGGGAAGGACATTCAGGAATCAAGGACTCCTCCCACATTCTGGTGGGGCAGGGAGGGTCTTCCCTGGTTGAATAACATAGTCAAATTAGCCAGGGAAGAAAATGTAAAGGGTTCGAGGGGTCCATATTTATTCACCCAAATTGTCAGTAATGGTGTTGAACATCGTAAACCATTGACCAGAGGCTTAATGTTATGTTCACGACGTCAGTGACAAACTCCCATTTGACCCTAATGGTGCAGAGTAGGTGTTTTTTGGGAGGATGATGGCATTTTTCTCCCATGTAAGGCAGCCAGTGTGCAGTCATTTTATAGCTGCATGGCCGAGCTCATTGTAAATATTCTATGTATGTACATACCATAACAGATAAACTTCCACATGTTTAACCAGATGGCATCTCTCTCTCATATTCTCTTCAGTGTTAATATGGGGTTGTATCATTAATTGGGCTGCTGTACATGGATAAGGTGTGAAGTGGGGGGAGGGGAGATACTGACCAACATAATTTAGCACAGCATAATATCACCAATAAATGCAGTATTAAGAGAAAATAACACTATTCCACCTTATGTTTTAAAGGGTGAACCAGGGTCCCCAGGAACTCCAGGAGCCGAAGGGGAGCAGGTATACCAAGTACTTCACCTAGTGCCAGACCCTATCAACAATTATGGCTTTTTTTAGAAAAAACATTGTACGTCATGGATAGGATGGGCTTAGAATTCATAATCATATGACATGGCACATTAAGCGATCGCATATTATGCAGTGATGATATACAGTGATGCTAATTAAGAGACAAAAGGTCACTCTGCGTTGTACTGGTTTATCCTTGAACACATCTAGGATTTTATTGACGTGTGAGCATTGTACAAGTCTTTTTCATGACAAAAAGATTATTTTTCAGGGTCCTAAAGGCTCGAAAGGGGATGTGGGTGAATCTGGCATGCCAGGAGAAAAGGGAGGAATTGGTCTCCCAGGATTACCGGTAAGTATGCAAAATAAATTTTATTTAGATGAAAGCTAATTTGAATTTTTCAATGATATCTTCCACATTTGATAATTCTCAAATGTTTGTAAGTTGCCAAAGTAGCAAAAACCATAAAACGAAAGTGCTAGTTATTCCATTTCTAGTGTAGGAAAAAGCATGAACAATAGACCAAAAGGCTGTTTGCCAGAGCTTTTCATTCTATATATGGAGAAATAAAATTTCACTTTGGAAAGACGGAGATTAGCTGGTATGTTGAACAAATGTTCTTGTCCACTGCCCTAGTCATCAATCACATCAGTGCTTTGACAAAAATAAATGTGGTAAGGTTCAGGAAAAATGAGCTGCTTGATTACAAAAGAAAGAGAGATATCTCGCTACCAGGACCCTCAGTGAATGACTCATACTCTGGAAGGAAAAAATTTCATAAACACTTATGAAAAGTCTGTTCTGTATTTACAAAATGGTTTTATACACATATGCCATGTATTTGTGTGTGGGGTGTATATCTACATATGGAGAGAGACTATATATATATATATTTAGAGAGAGAGAGAGAGAGAGAGAGAGATAGTATGTGTATGCCTACACACACTCACATACAGAATATATAATGAAATCAGTTTAATTACAAGAGCTTTTAATAAATGTGTTGCTGTCTGCTCTTCCTATATTTTTAACCATGGATATGAAAATTAATATCTGTAATTGTTTAATGGTGTAGTGCTTACTAGCTATTATCATGGGGTTTTGCAATATAAACATACATTTATAATACATGTTGTCAAGTATGAAAGTCATGACAGCTGGAGATACAATTCCATTATAAGTAATACTTTTATTATGAAAAACATAAATATTTAATTACAGAAATGTTCTTTTCTCGAGAGTGAAGTCAATGTTAGTAAAACAGGAATTGTTTAATAACATTTTATAATTATTTTTAGGGAGCCAATGGTATGAAAGGAGAAAAAGGAGATGTCGGTTTGCCTGGTCCTCAGGGTCCTTCTGTAAGTCTTGCCATGCTGTTGGGATGTGTTCATTATAGCATTGGTTCTCCACCTTTTCATTCTGAGGAACATTTCATATTAGAGCAGGAGGGACCTTCGTGGATGATCTCTCCTACCAACCTCCCTAATTTCCTACTCTTGGGTTTTCAAAATGTTTCACTCTGTGATCAACTAGGGTGGACAAGGTAGACTCCTGATGGACAATAATTTGAGAACAATGGGTCTATTTGGAAAGCAGTTCACTAGTTTGCTAATTTAGACATAAGCTATACAGTTAAAAACTACATAAGCATCTAGCCCCCGTGCATAAGCCACTGGCAGCCTTCTTGTGTTGAATCAGAGAGAGATAAGATTAATGGGAATTTCCTGCCTCAGCAATCTGTTTATCTATCTGTCAAGTTTGTACAGAGACTATCTCAGAGGGAAGGATGAGAATTAGATTTTCAAAGGGCTATAATGATGGTAAGCCCCAATACAAAGCCCACTGAAGTCACGTAAAGGACTCCCATTGATTTTGTTAAGCATTGTATCCAGTCCTTAATGATTTTGGGCCTGATCTTGGTAATAGTTATGCATGGGTGCATCTTTACTGGCATTACTAGTCCCAAGGGAATATTCAGGATTGCTCACATAAGTAAGTGTTTGCAGTACCAGACATATATGTGATTCTTAAAAACATTTTGCAAACAGAAATGCAAACCTCATGAGGCTCCTGTGATGTAGGTACACACTGTTGGCTCAATTTTATAGATCATGAGACTGAAGCAAAAAAAGGTTAATTTCTTGCCCAAGACAAAAAGGAGTCAAATGTTAGAGCTAGGATAAGAATTCAAGAGTTGCTGGCTCCCTAACCTAGCAACTCTAGGTACCATCTCTCACAACAGAGTATAAATATCTCACTCTAGCTCTTAAGGGAAAAATCAGTTAGTTACTTTCCAACATGATGTGTGTGTGGAACTCAAAAGATCTCAGCACAGATTTGCTGAACAACTGTGCTTTTGTAAAAGCCTTTTCCCCTAGAGAAAACAGCCTTGGCTTTCATCCTCATCTTCTTCTCTTGGTGGAGGTGTCACTGCTCCTCTCCTTTCCCAGAAGATTCCCACCAGCCATTGTCAACTCTTCTCTCCTCATCCTGTTTTAGATTTTAAAACCTACTTTGTCGACACCGCGCTTAACCTCAGAGGTTTGGCTAGAAAAGCCATTTGTGCTGGTTGTGCCACTTGGCAGCCCTGCAGTGGCTCCATGCTGCTGTCACAACCCTATCTGGATTCAGCCAAGTGTGAGAAGTGGTGTTAAATATTATAAACATTGGAATTAAATTCTTCTTTCTGAATTTGGTGAGATCAGTAAAGTAAACCAGCCTGTAACAAGCACATGCTGAAAGCTGAATAACCTGATTACCTGTTGTACTGAGTATCAGAGGGGTAGCCGTGTTAGTCTGAATCTGCAAAAGCGGCAAGGAGTCCTGTGGCACCTTATAGACTAACTGAAGTGTTGGAGCATAAGCTTCCGTGGGCAAAGATCCACTTCGTCACATGCATCTGACTGAGTTCAGCATTAGGATTAAGCCTTACATTCGAATGATCTCCTCGCCCCCACCCCTATCCTCAGCAACCAACCAATAGGAGCTGAGAGATTGTGCAAGTTTCTTCCCTCACCTGGAGCTGAGAGCCACATGAAGGGAGCAGTGAGTTCAGCATTAGGATTAAGCCTTACATTCGAATGATCTCCTCGCCCCCACCCCTATCCTCAGCAACCAACCAATAGGAGCTGAGAGATTGTGCAAGTTTCTTCCCTCACCTGGAGCTGAGAGCCACATGAAGGGAGCAGCTTTCAGTTGTAAGTGATTAGGGGTGCTGCAGGGCTGCTGGCTTAGGTAAGCACCTCCCAGCCAGAACCTGCCTCTGGCACCCCAGCCCCTCCTGCAACCCAACTCCCTCCCCAGGTCATCATCCAAACCCTTTGCACCCCCTGCCCCAGGTGACAACTCCCTCCCAAACCCTATAGGCCCTCCTACACTGCTCTCCCAGGCCAGAATCCTCTCCTGCACCCAAACACCCTTCCAGAATATGCACCTCAATCTCCTGCCCCAAGTCACCACCCACATCCTCTGTAGTCTGCACCCCCTTTTCCCCTTCTCCCAGGTCACAGCTCCCTCCCAGACTTTGCACTCCCTCCGAGAGCCCCTCTCCTAGGCCAGAATCCTCTCCTACACCCATACTCCCTCCCTGACCCTACACCCCTATCCCCTGACCCAGGTCACAACCACCTCCTTTGCTCAAACTTCCTCTCAGACCTCACACCATCTCCTGCACCCCAGTCCCTTACCCCATGCTCTCTTCTGTGCCCAACCTCCATCTGAGATCCTGCACATCCTCCACAGAAAAACGGGGCCCTTGACCACTTTACAAAATCTTGCAGTGGCCCCCCATCAAAATTATTGCCTGCCCCTGCTCTAGAACATCGAGTGCAAGTACAGCAGGGAATACATACCAGGATTAACAGTGCAAACAGCATCCCTATTCAGCCAGAACTGGAAGAAGTTTACTTCTACCTAATGTTTTTAAGTTATCTAATGGTTAGAGTGGAGGACAGGGAGTCAAGAGACCTGAATTCTGTTTCCAGCTCTGAAGTATGACCGTGGGTGTGCCATTTTATCTCTGTGTTCCTCAGATCCCCTGTCCATTAAGTCAGAATAATAGCCAGTCTGCCAAGCACTCCAACTACCAAGATAGCTACAGATATAGATATCTATCTATAAGTTATGTGTTACTTTTTAAAGTGTTCTTCCAGGAGAGTGGCTCTTAGCTGTATTCTTTATCTGAATGGTGATAAATGATATTAGTGAAGATCTGGAGAAAGAGTCTGACTTCCTCTATTTACAAGGGGAATTCCCTTCACTACATGAGCTAATGACATCATTTTCTATATGTAGATCATAGGGCCGCCAGGACCACCAGGACCTCATGGGTCACCAGGCCCTATGGTAAGACTTTTTTCCCTCACTCCCTGTTGTAATGCTTGTTTAAGTGAAGTGCTATGAGAGAACATGACTATTAGAGTTGGCCACAGCCATGCATTTTGGATCCTAACCCAAAGTTCTTGGGCAGTGGGAAAAGGAATTATGGGTATAAACGTTTCCCTGTTATGTTCCCCCAATGAGGCACTTAGAGGTGCAACTACTTATATTGGCACCCGCAATTTATTTTGTGACAACAAAAATGCAGGTGCAACTTGTACCTAGAAAAGGCAGCAAAACCTTTATTTTCTTCAATAAAAGACTGAATCTTTATTTTCAGGGACCCCATGGACTGCCTGGCCCAAAGGTAAATAAATAATTGCCTGGATTCTTTAAGTCTGTAATGTGCCATGATATGTTCTTTGTTAATAATAATGAAGCATGCAGCTATGTTGTGTCCTTTGTCTCGTTTATTTGTTAAATATTTCTGATACTCCTAAGCCTTTAAGCAGATATTTAAAGTAAAAGTTAAATTTTTTTTAATTGCAATTATTTATATAATTATTTTTGTGTGTGTTTCACGGGAGCATAAATGTGATTAGGTTATTATAATGATGATTATGAACTGCTATTAAAAGTATCTATCCTCCTGTTTCCTGGTGAGATTTTCATACTATTCTAATTAGTGCTTTGCAATTGCCTTAAATTGCACTTTAGAACACAGAGGATAAGTGTGTTGTACCTGGAGGAGATAAACTTGTTTCCAGATACATCTTCTTTTTTTCTGCTCCTCTCCCATCTCCTATGCCTTCCAACACAAGTTCATGTCACTTGCTACTATCCCCACTGGAGTACAACCCCAGGCACTCCTTCATCCTTTGCATAGCATGTGCACATGCACACACACCCCAGAGGCCTGAACATGTAGATGATTTTGGGAGGGTTAAAAGAAACTATGTTTTAATTTGATTAAATTATTGTATGCTTTGGTTTTTGTATAGCAAAGAGAAACCATGGGAACAAGGCATAGGGAACAGTCCTGGGCATAGAGAAAATCCTATGCAATTCCATTTAGCTGCCCTGAGTGTTCTGTAAAGACACCATGTGGTGGTGGTTTTACATGGCATGAAGATGTTTTCACGCATATCCCAGGTCCACCATTTTTCACTTCACAATTTTATTACAGTGATGCCTATGTAACTTCATAATTGCAATCTTTAGGTAATATCTTTTGTTCAAGTATAAATACCATTTTTGGTGAGATGAGTGAATCATGGACCCTAAAAATGCATTGTCCCAGTACAACACACTCCTCCTCTTACTTTCCAGTTTAACTATGTGTGCTTAAAGGTTTAAAGTATCTTTACATAAGACTGTATTGCAAATTCCTGTTTGGTATTGGAAGAGAATGTATTTCCACACAAAATGCATCTTTCTGCAGATCTTACTGCAATTATCACTAATGTGAACAAAATGCAGTTTCTAATATTCTTGTCTGAGATTTTTCTTTAGTTTGAATTATCAGTCTGTGGCAGAAATGTGTGGACATAGAGGAAACTTAAAAAGAAAAGCAGGAAAATTACAACTGACCCCACATCAGACAAATATTTCAATAATTATATAGAAGTGATTCAAGAAAGTCTTGCACAGCAGAGTTTCATGTCTTATTTCATTACAATTAAACACAATTGTATTTAAAATGACCAGAGATTTTCTGTTGCATATTTTAGCACAGGTCAATACAATAGTACCTGATGCTGGTATTTCAAACTGGAATTTGCAGCTACATCTGAGACCGGCTCTCTTCTGTCCCAGCTTAAATACACATTATAGCACCAAAAATTGGCATTTATACTTTTACATTTAGGGTGAACCAGGGTTAAATGGTCTTAAAGGATTGAAAGGTGAACCAGGTCAAAAGGGTGACAGAGGGCCCCTTGGTCTTCCAGTAAGTAAAAAAACCTATTCCATTTCAGTGCAAATCACAAACTTTTCTCTCTACTTTCAACCAACAACTCTGGTTTACTCAACAGCATTTCTAAATCTCTATCATGTTGGAGCAGAACATCAGCCTTGTTTTGTTGTATCCAGAGTCTGTGCCATTGTCCAGAGTCACATCCTGTAACACTTAGTGCTGTCAGTTTCTTTTTGTCACGTGTCAGTGGATAGTGTTAATGGCCTCACGAGGATGCTGTCAGCCCCATTACATTAATCATGTTGTGATTTCAGTGTTGTGTGGTGTTTGCTTTAAAACCATGGTTTTATCAAACACGTTGTGTATTAATTTTGATGTATCCTCAGTGATATCTCCTTGAAGAAGTGTCACTAAAGTGGCAGGTTTGCCTGAGTCAGGACTGAGTAAAATCTGAGAGAAGACCTTGGAAATTGGCCCATAGAATTTTAAAACATTCCCCATGAAGTCAGGGGTGCTGGATATTTTTACTTTTGCCTTGGACTGTTCCGAACAGTTCTCATTATAAGTACTTGGCGTAGATTGATCTTAACAATCACATTTACATTTGAAAATTTTGTCACAAGAGACAGCAAAGCTGGAAGTGATTAAAAGAAAAATAGTATATTTTAGTGTGTTTACTTTGTGTGTTTTAGAGCACTTTGTGAAAAGTCAATGTCATTGTTTTCCACTTAGACAATCTGTTTCCCCTCTTGCACACAACGGCATTTAAAAATGACCAGAAAAAAGTCTGGTCAAAAGTTTTTAAAGATTTGCAGAGAGACTCTGAGGAATGTCACCTTTACCAACAAGATTTCTATTTCTCTCAGTAAAACTAACCACTTTCATGTTGACAAGGTCCCTTTGATAATCCAGCAAATAGTTTCCAGGACACCAGTCTTATGTTATTCACATAAAATCCACCAGGGGTCAGCCAGTCCCCAAGGATGTTAAACTGAAAGTTCAATGCATTCTATGTGCTTCCAGCCTGGAATTAAATTCATTGTTCATGAACACTGGCTACAATTGTAATTTGCTGGAAAAAAAGAAAAACCCAGGAAACTTCATTGTCTCTTGGGCTCCTGAAAAATGAATAAAACCATTGTAATGGGTGCCAAGATTTTGTTGGTGATGTAACACAATTTTCTTCATCTTAAACACTTATTATTGTTAAAATGTATATTTTAATTATACTGCAAAGTAGAGTAGTCAGTATTGTCATTATTTTATAATTCACATTAGACAACTTACTAGTTAATGTATAAATTGAGTATTTGTACATTAAAGCACAAGAAACACCATAATGTCTGATGTTTGTAGCACTAATAAATCTAGAGTCTCATTCTGATCTCTGGCACACTGGTGTAAATCAGAAGTAATTCCATTAGATCTATTAATTACAACAATATGGTTACATCGATCTAAAACCACTGTAACTGAGATCAGAATCAGGCTCTTAGTGTTATATGTAATTTTTAACTAACATGTTGTAGAAATGTGATCCTCATTCCAGAACCCTGTAACTGCTTATATTCTGTGTTTAAGTTATGTTTATTCATCAACACCATTTACTAATCTCACATTCTTGTCATTCATGTTATACCCATCATCCATGCTTCCACCTAATCATACAGGGAGCATCTGGCTTAGACGGAAAGCCAGGACCCCGGGTGAGTCCCTTGCATTCCTGTGCCATGCTACTGAGTCTGTGTGTTTCACGGTGGTCTTACTTGCCTCGTTTATATGTGGCTGAAATGGACTGAGGCAAAATTTATCAAGCAACTTACATGATGTTGAATCTGGAGAAAGTCTTGGTACAGGTTACCAGAGGGGAGCAGTTAGTGCCGGATTTTTTGGAGCTCTGGATCCTAAAAATATATTAAAAATTTAGGTTGGAACTGGCCTAGTTTGTATAGCTGTATAGGAAAACCTGTTAAAATGGGAACATAGCTCAGTGTATCCAAGTATACTTAACTTCTTTCTGAGCTTTATGTTCATCCTTGGTTTACATTGGCTTTGGAAATTGTAGCTTTGTCAAGTTCCAAGTAAAGAGAACTGCCACTTGAAGCATACTGTATATCTCCCTTTTCCTGTCTTTTGCTTGCACTTTTCCCTCTGACTTCAGCGATGCAAACCATGCAATGCTTCGAGCATCAATTCTGATCTTAGAAACCAATTTTTTTTTTAAAGCAGTGGTTTCACTAGTGCTCGTTCTACTTGGTAAGATTAGAGTTCCATATATAATCTGAAGCCCTGATGGGTTTTGTACTAATTTCACAAGATTAGATAATAGGGAGTCTGTGACTGGTGCAAAACTACTACAATTCTACCTTGAGCCTTCTGATATTTAAAACAAATGTTAACTGCTATGGCATTTATAATGATGAAGAAGGAAGGGGAAAAGTGAAAGAACAACATAGTGGTGTATTTAAAGGCTTTGTTAAGCCTGTCGTTCATCATTATGGCCTCTTATATTTAATCTACACAACCCTTAGTATAACCCTTAACTCCTAGTGGCAGAAATTCACTCTACATTTTAAAACCTCCATAAATCTCTTCACTTAAAGCAATAAAGTACAAACCAATTAGATGAAAGATGAGCTACATCACAGCTAATAGTTTACAGATGGGATTTTCAAACCACCTAGTGGATTTGGATGCCTGGTTCTCATTATAATTAAGATTTGAAAATCCCAGACTATATTTTCAACCAGTGGGAGCTGAACTGATTCTAAGACAGTTCCTGACTAGAATAAACCTGAAGTTAAGAACTGCTAGAAGATTTCAGGGCATTTGTTTTTCATTACTTGTTTGTTTAATCTTTTAGGGTCTGGATGGTCCAATTGGTCCACATGGCCCAGCAGGTCCTAAAGGAGATAGAGTAAGTATACATTCATCGATATTTCTCCTTATGAAGAAAAGATCAACAAATGTTATTGAGCAAAATAATACCTCGTCTATTTAAGGGTCAGACTTTCTTATGTAGTTTAAAGTGCATTTTTAAACTGAAAAATGTAAAATTAGCACATTCTTACTCATCCTGATCTAAGTATTTAGTCATAGTTGCTTAATTTAGTTATTCAAATAAGTGTTTATTGTCTCCCATCCCAGTTAGCCCTGCTGCACTAACAGAGATGAGAGGGAAGGAGCTATATGCTAGTCCTTCTTCAGCACAGCAGAATTGTTTACTGACTTCCACTCAGTTAAAACAGGGCAAAGATATTGACAACAATATACTTGCACAGGCATTGCTGAGGGTATGACCTAAAGCAAAGGTCTCCAGTCTGTAGGGGGCACAAAGGAACATTGGTGGTGGAGGGCTGCTTAAAATAAAAGACACATCCAGAGTCATCCTAATACACCTGGCCATTTGCTCATCAACCACTCTCCATGTCATACCTCATTTCCTCTCTCAAGAAAGCACAAAGATCCTTCACCCAACTCTCAAGGTGCTTCATAGTGGGTAGAGGGTTCACAGGATAGATACAACTTGCTCAGAAAAGGTAAAAAGAGTACTATTGCACAGCAGAGAAGTCTACTCACTACACATTCTCTCAAAATGGGACAAGATTTGTCTGTTTGTGTGTCCTCGGACATGTTCCACCAATGACCTCAGTGCTGCTTGGAAATCCTACTCTGGTTTGGAATCTCAGTCTGGTGCTTAAATGCCTTATGAAACCACCATTTGAACTGATGGATATCTACTCACTTCTCAATTTAAAAACGCCATTCCTGATAGCCTCCATGCTGGTACAGTGAATTGGGGAAATACAGGCCATTATGGCATGTCCCTCTTTCATAGTATTGTTAAGGACAAGGCCACATTGTGACCCTACCCCAAAGTTTTACCTAAAGTTTCCTCTGAATTCCATATTAACCAACCCATTCATCTTCCAGTCTTCTATACTAACCCTCACCTAGGTAAAAAAAGAGGAACTACTGCACATCCCTGACACCCTGTCTGGTTAGACTAACCTCTGAAAGACTCCCGAATTGTTTGTCTTTCTCCCAGATAGATTGAATGGGTCTGCAGTCTCAAATGAAAGACTTGCTACGTGAATATCTGACTAAATTAAGTCTTGCTACAAATCTTCATTCACAGAACACTACACAATAAGTCACAACTCAGCTTCTAATGTTGCATTTGACACCACTGTTCTTTCTTCTATAGTGGACTTGACATTGAAGCCCCCTCTACCTTCAGGGGAACTGCTCAGTAGTCACTTGGGGTACGTCTACACTGCATCCCTAGTTCGAACTAGGGATGCAGTGTAGATGTACCCGGAGTTCCACAGGTTGACTACACTCTGTGTGAAGAAGAACTTTCTTTTATTAGTTTTAAACCTGCTCCCTGTTAATTTCATTTGGTGTCCTCTAGTTCTTCTATTTAGGGAACTAATAAATACCTTTTCTTTATCGGCCCTTTCCACACCACTCATGATTTTATATACCTCTAGTCCAGGAAGGCGTCCGCCATCTCTGGCCGGCTCCTGGGAGCTGAGGGACTGGGCAGTGGACAGCTGGCTGGCACTGGCTGCCTGGCTCATTGTGGGGCCACTCGGTCAGGGGCAGCGACTGCTGGCAGGCCTGGATCTGGCACATGCAGTGTGGGCAGAGTCTACCCCTTTAAGGGCTCCGAGCACTTGTAGGGGCATTACTTGAAGAAAATGGTTACTCAGCCTGTGCAGTAACTGCAGTTCTTCAAGTTGTGTGTCCCCTACAGTTGCTCCACTACCCACCTTCCTTCCCCGCTGCTTTGGAGTTCTGTGCTACAGAGCTTCACACTAGAGAATGCACTGAATATACTTTGCCCACTTAGTGGTGTATAATAATGGTGCAGGGGATGAGGCTGGAAAGCATTCAAGCACATGCCAGACAGACACTGCTAGCGCACATAAAATGGCACACCTCTAGGAACATGCACCTCAAAGAATGCTGCTTTTGTAGTTGGCTAGCCATTCACAGTCTTTGTTTAATCCTAAAATGATAGTATCAAATTTGCAGGTGAACTGTAGCTCTGCGGTTTCTCTTTGAAGTCTGCTCTTGAAGTTTTTTTTGTTACAGGATGGCTACTTTTAAATCTGCTACTGTGTGTCCAGGGAGATTGAAGTGTAATCCTACAGGTTGTGTATTGCCATTCCTGATATCTGATTTGTGTCTGTTTATTCTTTTATGTAGGGACTGTCTAGTTTAGCCAATGTATATGGCAGAGGGGCATTGCTGGCACATGATGGCATATATTACATTGGTAGATGTGCAGGCGAATGAGCCCGTAATGGTATGGCTGATGTGGTTAGGTCCTGTGATGATGTCGCTGGTGTAGATATGTGGGCAGAGTCGGCACCAAGGTTTATTGCAGGGATTGGTTCCAGAGTTAGAGTTACTGTGGTGCGGTGTATAGTTGCTGGTGAGAATGTGCTTCAGGTTGGCGGATTGTCTGTGGGTGAGGACTGGCCTACCTTCCAAGGTTTGTGAGAGTGGGGGATCATTGTCCAGGACGGGTTGTAGATCGCTGATGATGTGTGGAGAGGTTTTAGCTGAGGACTGTAGGTGATGGCCAGTGATGTTCTGTTATTTTCTTTGGTGGGTCTGTCTTGTAGCAGGAGACTTCTGGGTACACGTCTAGCTCTGTTGATCTGTTTCCTCACTTCCTCAGTAGTTTCAAGAATGCTTGGTGTAGATCTTGTAGGTGCTTGTCTCTGTCTGAAAGGTTGCAGCAAATGCACTAAGGTTAAACCTTAGTGCTTGGCTGTAAACGATAGATCGTGTGGTGTGTCGAGGATGGAAGCTAGAGGCATGTAGGTAGGCATAGCGGTCCGTAGGTTTTCAGTATAGGGTGATGCTTAGGTGACCATCATTTATTTGCACTATAGTGTCCAGGAAGAGGATCTCTTGTGTAGACTGAATTGACCTCATTATATCTAGCCTTACTCTTGATTGAAACTCTTTTCTTATGCCTGTATATTTATACCTGCCTTTGGAGTTTCCACTACATGCGTCTGACGAAGTGGGTCTTTGTCCACGAAAGCTTATGCTCCAATAAATCTGTTAGTCTATAAGGTGTCAAAGGACTTCTCATTGTTCTTGCAGATTCAGACTAACACTGCTACTCCTCTGAGACTTCAAGAGTTACTTGTCATTTCACTCACTTGTTTTTTAGGCACTTTATATAACACAATATTTTATTTGTGAATCTCTGCAGCCACAGAGCTGTACAAAAGGGAAAATTTGAAGTGAAATTTTCAAATGATTCTGACCACATATTCATCTGCTTAGGTTGTAGGAGATGCTTCTGATATTCACTAAGGCTGTGTCTAGGCTACATGCCTCTGTCGTCAGAGGCATGTAGATTAGACACATAGGCAAAGTCAAATGAAGCCGCGATTTAAATGATCGCGGCTTCATTTAAATTTACATGGCTGCCGCGCTGACTCCCATCCTATTTAGACTGAAATTGATAGGAAAGTTCCTGTGGATTTTCAGTTGGAAAAAGCTCGGTGACATTTAAAAGCTTCCCTGATTTTGAGGAGACCTCCTCAACTCCTTTAAAATCCCTTTTCCTCAGGGGCAAGACTCAGCAGCGATAAATATGGAGCACTGAGCTTTTTGATATTGTGCATGTACACAATCAAATCACACTGTCTTCTTCTTTCTTCATTTTCTCCATCATTCTAGGCACACGAGACCATGACACTGACCAAAATCCTTTTCTATGAAACACGCAGAATGCAGGAGGTCTTACTAGTTTCTTCCTGATCTGTGATTGCAAAATACCCATTGCCCTGGATTCCTCTGTTTGGGTACGTCTAAACTACATGGCTCCGTCGACGGAGCCATGTAGTTTAGACGTACCCAAACAGAGGAATCCAGGGCAATGGGTATTTTGCAATCACAGATCAGGAAGAAACTAGTAAGACCTCCTGCATTCTGCGTGTTTCATAGAAAAGGATTTTGGTCAGTGTCATGGTCTCGTGTGCCTAGAATGATGGAGAAAATGAAGAAAGAAGAAGACAGTGTGATTTGATTGTGTACATGCACAATATCAAAAAGCTCAGTGCTCCATATTTATCGCTGCTGAGTCTTGCCCCTGAGGAAAAGGGATTTTAAAGGAGTTGAGGAGGTCTCCTCAAAATCAGGGAAGCTTTTAAATGTCACCGAGCTTTTTCCAACTGAAAATCCACAGGAACTTTCCTATCAATTTCAGTCTAAATAGGATGGGAGCCTAGCTTTGTAACTATGGCTGTGTCCAGACTCAGGGGTTTTTTCGGGAAAAGTAGCCTTTTCCCGAAAAAACTTCCCCTGCGTCCAGACTCAAGCCGCGTTCTTTCGAAATTATTTCGAAAGAACGCGGCTTTTCTTTCGATGGCGGTAAACCTCGTTTCATGAGGAAGAACGCCTTCTTTCGAAAGTTCCTCTTTCGAAAGAAGGCGTTCTTCAATGTAAATAGGGCTTCCTCGAAAGAGAGCATCCAGACTCGCTGGGTGCTCTCTTTCAAAAAAGCGGATTGCTCTTTCGAAAGATCCGCCTGCAGTCTAGACGCGATCTTTCGAAAGAGGCTCTTTCGAAAGATGCTTTCGAAAGAGCCTCTTTTGAAAGAAGCCTGCAGTCTAGACATAGCCTATGAGTCTGTCAACCTTAGCACTGCCTTAAACTTGTACAGCAAAACAAAAGATGATACTTGATACTGACTAAAACCTCTTAGGAGTCGCAAACCCAGAATTCTGTCTGTTTGGATTTCTAACAAACAGCAGTGGTAACACTACTTCAGACCTGCCATATTGAAGTCATTGCTTAGTGTATGGCATGGATCCAATTAGCTTTAACAGTGGCTCATCCGAGACAGATCTGCATGACTTGAGGATTCATATTTTAAAATATATG